GGGGTCTCGCTCTTGCTCAGGCTGGTTTCGAACTCCTGAGCTCAAACAAATCTGCCCGCCTCGGCCTCCCAGAGTGCTAGGATTACAGGCGTGAGCCACCGCGCCCGGCCTCCTTGCTTTCCTTCTTGTATCATTTCTGTTCTAAGTATATATTTCGATTTTTTTTAATTTATGACAAGGACATTACGTATTATCTTTTGGGACTTTTTTCATTTTATGTTATATTGCTAAAATTAATCCATACTGTTGTAGTTCATTTTGATTACACTCTATAATTATTCCATTTGTGAATATACCATTTTATACATTCACTTTTCTGCCAGTGTAAACATTTAGTTTCCAAGCTTTGTTATTGTTAGTAATACAGCTATAAATGTTCTTTTGTATGACTTTTGTTATCAATGGTAAAAGATTTCTCTTGCACATACACTAGCAGGAAAGCTACTAGTTCATGTGATATCTTTATATTCAACTTTAGGAGATAATGTCAAACTGTTTCCAGAGAGACTGCACCAATTTAATCTTCACCAACAACATATAAGAAAGCCATGTATAGGCTGGGCACAGTGGCTCACATCTATAATCCTAACACTTTGGGAGGCAGAGGCAGGAGGATCGCTTGAGGCCAGGAGTTTAATACCAGCCTGGGCAGCATAGAGAGACTTTGTCTCCATAAAAAAAAAAAAAAACGAAAGCCCAGGTATCCACATCTTCTCTAATACTTAACTAACGTTTTAAGACTTTTTAATTTGTCAAAAATCGAGTGATTATAATTTCACTGTAGTCTTAAAATACACTCTCTGAACACTCATAAAGTTAAACATCTCTTCATATTTTGTAGGCCTTCCTCTTTGGTGAAATGTTGCTCATGTCTTTTGCAGATTTTTCTATTGGGTTTTGTCCTTTTTACTGGTGGGTAGGAGTTCCTCATATGTACCAATTATTAATCCTTTGTAGGCTATTTGTTTTGCAAAAGTTTGTAATTTGTCTTTTCACATTCCTTAAAGTATTTTTTGAAAACAAAAGTCCTTAATTTTAATCTACTAGAATTTATTAATCTTCTAAAGTCAGACTTTTTGTGCCTTTTAAGAAATCATTCCCTATGACAATATTATTTTTTTTACTGGAAGTTTTACAGTTTTGTGTTCACCATTTAAAAATTTAATTCATTTGGAATTATTTGTACATGATGTGATATTAGCATGAAATTTTATTATTCCTCTGCCACATGTTAAAATTTACAGTTTACTTACTTCATCCCTACTCCAGGTTCTTCGCCTCGTAATTGTTAAGTGATCAGGAGGCTCTGTTGGTTGAGGTCTTGTATCACCAGATCGACCGTTGTTTCCTTCTGGTGTTTTAGAATGAACTAATGGAGGGATCTTTCGAAAGTTGAGGCTTTCATCAAAAACACGATCAACCAACTAATAGGAGAAAAGCAAACTCTTATAAGAATAGAGTAATTTGAAAAAGTACAGATTTTGGCATTATAATTTTTATTATTAGACAGAAGTTATTTCATTCTCAAGTAGTAATAAAAGCATGATATCTTCAATAAACCAATTATTCTTTCTTTTCATAAGCATTTCAAAGGTATTTCCTTTATAAAATAGACGTTCATCTACCTAGATTTTGTTTTCAAAATTCTGAAATATGTAACTATGTTAAATTCAGTTCTTCCATGGATAAGATTTTCTCTCAATGCAATACGGATGGTAAATAGATAAAAGCTGAGCCATGTAGATGGACAATGAGTTCATTTTACTCACATTGCCTTACCAGTGTAAAATAATGTTTCTTTTTCTTTTAGTTTCCTATCTTGTTTTTTCCTTTTTTTCTCCCCAAATCCAGGTGCCAAATTTCTTCACAAGATACACAAATTGCAATTCCAATTAAGTTTACAAAAGGAAAAAGAATTTTAAATTCACAAAATAAATATTTTGGTCTTAGTCAAATAAACTTTTAACAATGCTACAGAAATCACATACTCTAGTAAAAATGATATACTGCCATCTACCGTGCAAATTATAGACATACAATACTAAGTAACTCAGGTTTACTGAAGAGGGAATAAATTTGAGTAAAATATTCTGAAATAAAACAAAAAGGAAAAATGGAGTCTATTCAATGAAATGTTTGAGTAATTTTACTGGGTCTGAGTGAATGTATAATCATGTTAGGTAAAATTTAGTTAGAAAGCGGAGAAAATAACATCATCATTTTAAATGTACAAGAAGAATTGTGTATGTCTTGCTACCAAGAAGATCCTTTTGTTTTTCACCAATAAGGATGATTTTATAGATAGTTACAACTGATCAATGTGGTAACAAAACTCTACACAGATTGATGAAACATCGTTTATTAGACAACACATGAAGGAAAAACAAATAAGGTGACCATTAAAGAATCAGATTAAAGAAGGAATGTGACAAAAAGCAACCAAAGAAAATACTATCAGCACAGATTACCAGAATTAAATTTGTCAAAAAGGCTAACCATTTTGGGCTACTATTTAGAACTATTTTATAAAATTAAGGAAGTGGAATCATCAATATCGGGGACTGGTAAACTTTTTCTGTAAAAGGACAGATAATAAATGTTTTATACGTCACAGCCATACAGTTTCTGTCTCAACTGCTCAATTCTGACACTGTAGCACACCAACTGCCATAGAGGACAATTAAACAAATGAGTTTGGCTGTGTTCTAATAAAACTTTATGAACACAGAAATTTGAATTTCATATAATTTTCATGTTTTGAATTATTATTCTGGTTTTTCAACCATTCAAAAATGTAAAAATCAACCCTGTCTTTAGGTCCTTATAAAAACAGGCAGCAAGGCCAAAGTTTGCCAACCCCTGAACACAGAAATTCATTCTTTTAAATGCCAATTCTTTGCTTGCATTTCTGCTCCAGATCAAAGCAGCCAACATGGACAGAGAACACCATTAATTTTATATTATATGCTAAAGGTACCTTAACATACCTTCTGGAGCAATGTTATGCGAATGGTGCCCCCTGGAGTTGAACTGTAGGAGGTCTTGGTTTTACATGGGCAATAGTCTGTATATGGTAGCTTAAGTTCCAGAGTTTACAAGAATATTTTGAATTTTTTTTGTGTGTATGTATTATATATTTTAGTTTTCAAAATATACTTGGTTGTGTCTGTGTATTCATCAACAGAATTGTTAAAGTAATGAAAATGTAGACTTTTTCTCTTTCTTTGCTATCAGAGATATCTCCTAATTAACTAGCAAGGAAAATACCTTTTTAATTGTAGTATTTTCATAGTCAAACTCTATAGAAACTTCATAAAATCATTTATCAAATTTTGATTTGCTTTTCAGATACCATTTACATTCACACTTCAAGTGAAGCTATGGACCAGGAATTAGCAGGACAAATGCTCATTCTAAATGATTTTCCATCTTCACGCTATTAGCGTAGACCAAATGTTTAGCCTTTATGAGTTTCGTTACAAAAAAGAAATTTGTTAAAGTAAAGTTGGAAAATGCAGAGCTTCATGCAAATAGGGAGGGTAGACATAACTAAAATAAACTAAGCAAAAAGCTAAAAGCAAAAGAAATAAAGAAAAGAAAGAACCTTATGCATTTCTCCATGAAGATCTCCTACCTCTTCTCTAGTGTCTATGGCAGAGCCAGGGGTGGTGGCAGCAGTGCTTACTGTGGTACTAGGGGCAGTGCCTGATGAAGTCACTGAATCTATCTCTCCTGCTACATCGTTGATCTCCCGAGCAATGAGAGCAAGATCTTGGCTGATCCTGGTAATAATTTTAGAAAAGAATTTTAATCCCATTTAAATAACAGCTCTAGAAACAATCACTTATGATAGAATCAGTTATATAAGTTGTATCTCTAAAAATTTATACACAAAACTTAAGATTCTTTGGAAATGCTATTAACTATTTTGATAATCAAAGTCTTAAAGTTTAATTGCAAAAATTAATATTGATGAAACTAAATTCCAAATAAACTATATCAACTCGAAAAAGATACCTTAAATACCCTGAAGTACAGCTATATCCTTAAAATATACTATTAATGTTAACGACTAGCATTAATATATCAGAGAGGTTCTTACACTTGGGAATGATGGACAGAATTCAAGGAGTCCTTGAACTTGGATGAGAAGAAAACAATTACAATGTTATTTTCATTAACCTCTAACTGATGCTTAACATTTCTTTTAATTATAAATACAGGCAAAAAACCAGAGTGGTATTAGTTATACTGGTGATTTCTGTCACCAACAGAAATCACATTATAGTTGATACAGGTATCTCAAAACATCATTTACAGTCATCACTACTTCAAAATTACTGTAGTCATTAAACCCACAACATTAACCTTTTATTTAATATGTTAATAAAGAATTATATATTCCTATATCACTTTAAAGTATTTTAATAACTGTATTTCAATATAATAGGATTTCTTTGTAATTCTAAGTATTTTATGTTTCTGTATTTAGAAACATTTTGAGAAAGACTCCATAAGTTTCAAGAAATGGCTAAAGAGGTCTATAGTACCAAGAAGTTAAGAACTCTGACGTAATACTTTATGCTTTGCATAGTGCTTTCTAGTATACATTATGTCATTTGAGGCTCACAAAGTTCTTTCAAGGTAGGACTTATCTGATTTTATTAATGAGGACACATTCTCAGAGAAGTTGGATAGCTTGCTCATGACTGCACAACTTAGAAGTAGCTACTAAGGCAGGACCAGATCGTAGGTATAGTGCTCATTTCCACAAAGCTGTTTGTGTTTTTAGCCACATAGACTGAAGAACTAAATAACTGTTACCAGCGATAATCAAAGGAGAAAATAGACAGTTTTCTTTTAGAGTTCTTTTTAAGAGGAAGAAACTTAAAAAAGCTACCATTGATATTCCTGTTTCTCAAAACAGACTTCAATTCAATAAAACATGAAAAATTTCCAAGTTGCATCCATTGCACATAAACTCAGTTTGGCTACTTCAACAGGGAAGGCTTTGGATTGGCAGAATATTCTTAAAAGTATACGTGAAAGCCTCTGCAACTTTGAAACCAAAGTAAAAAGTAAATACAAAGTAACTTTTTTTTTTTCCTTAAAGAGATGGGGGTCTCACTATGTTGCCAGGCTGGCCTCCAACTCCTGAGCTCAAGCGATCCTCCTGTCTCAGCCTTCCAGGTAGCTGGGAATACAGGGGTGTGCCATGCCCAGGCTAAAGTTAACATTTTTTAACTTATGCAAAATGTGAGTTTGAAAGATTTTCCAGGAATGAAGTAATTGCATAAAAATGTAACTAGATTTAAAAAAAGAAGCTAAGTTGAAGCTTATGGACCAACAGCAGCAATTTATGGTCAACTAATATACAAACTTTGTAAGAAACAACAAACTCTCTTGATTACCAATACAAAAAGGTAAGAAAAACACCAACAAATATCTGCTGACCCCTTATTATGTGCCAGGCACTATGCTAGGTCCTAAATGTTACAATGATGAAGAAGTAGGTAGGGTCCCTGCTTTCACAGAGCTTAGAAATAGTAAGCACCATTATAATATAATGAGTACATTAGAAAGAAGCTTTATATTCATCAACTCATTATTAATGTCATCTTTTCTTACAGATAAGGAAAATGAGGCTGAGAAGTAAAGCGACCATTTTTTGGCCAAGGTCACAAATAGTGTCATATCTTACTGATAATGCCATGATGTCGTTTCATTATGTCATGCTACATCTCATATTATCATTCTATATACAATTTTTAAAAGCATGTTAACTGTCATTATGATTATTTTGAGAATAGGTTTAAAATGTTCCCTTAGATAATGTAGTCGATTCTCACAATTAACTGAAATAAATGAACTAGGGTGAGAAGCAGAATAGCCAAGCTTAGTAGGATAAAAAATAAATAAGTAATAAGATAAAATTTTTATTTTATCAGATAAAAACAGATAAAATCAGCAAAAGTGTTTTATGTATTCATACAATGAAAATTCTATTCTTTGTGGAAGCAGTATGAATTAATTAGAAAAAATATGCACAACAATCTCCATATGTTATGCAATAAAAACTATATTAAAATGAGCAATTTTTAATGTATATGCAATACATATTGTCTATTTGAAAACCTAACGGACAATTTTCACATTTAATTTCATTTTATTTCAAAATTTAGATAGGACAATAGTACCAAAGAAATGAAATATTAATTAAGGGTTAATAAGTTCTATAACATTAATGCTAGTCTTTTTGTCTTCCTGAGTGTCAGAATCATTGATCCAATTTCAAAAATTTTGCAGAAAAAAGTATGCACTATTTGTTAAAAAAAAGTGAGATTAAAAAAATGTAGTTTAAGAAAGCCATGAAATTTATAATTTTCTTATGTAAACTATCTCATTAATAGCACTCTTATTTAAATCAGTTAATTTTTTTTTTCACTTAAGGGTTATATATGCAAAAAATACATTAACTACAGATTTTGGGTACACTGGAAGTTAAAAGGAAATATTGAAAATTAGAGTCCTAGTGAAATGCATGCCTGATTAAACACGCAATCTTTGTGATCTCATAACCACAATAGAAACAAACTATCAGATTTTATTGATTTAAACTGCCAACATTAACACTCATTAGGTTTTAAATTAACTAAAAAAAAAATCCGCTTCATCTTTTTAATAGCATATTAAGTTTCAAAGTTTTTATATGTAACTAGTGTTCCAAAGTATACACATATAAACCATTAGAAGAAAATTTCCTTTGATTTTACTGGAAAAAAAGCAACTGATGAGCTATTAATGAACTATACTAGCTTTAGAATCCTAACACTGAAGTTAATGACAGGAAATCTAACTTTAGTTACCTTAACACTGGCTAAGAGATAATAGCTCTAATTTTAATGACTTAGCTTTTAAGAAATAATTCAGTTTTTAAGTGACAAGAAGTGTTAAAATATAAAATTAGTTTAAGAAGGAGAGACATTTAAGAGTCATTCTAGTAAAGCTATGATTTCCATACTGTCTAGAAGAGTTTAGTCAGAAAATAAACATTTTATAAGAGGAAAAAAGGAGTTATTAGCTGAAGGATACTCAGGAAAGCTGAAAAAAAGAAAATATAAGGAATAAAAGGCTAAGGTCAGCATAAATGTCAATTTGAAATAAAAACTGCACTATATAATAAGCCACATTTGGATTATTGAAATAAGCCTCACTTCTGGGTCTCCTCAAGCTTAAAAGGCAGAGAAGACGGGAAGATCAAACTCTATTCTCTTCTCCAGTGGTCTTATAACTTAAGGAACTTAAGAGAAATTTAATGGATGATTCACAGAAAATATTTTAAAAAATCAAATTTGGTAACTCTTATGTGTTTAAAAGACCTTTAAGACAATCACTGTATATACTCTTTTGTATTAATCTGCAAGTTTTCATCCTTTTTAATTGCCAAGGCACCAAGTTCTATCAATTTTTCTTTCACTGTGTTCCCTTATCTAGTCTTCAAGCAAATGTTTATCATTTTTTCCCATGTTCTCAACTGCTCATGAATGCAACAGTGCAACAGACTCTTAGCTTATTTTGACCATTCTTTTTTCTCCTGAAAGTATCTGAAATATGAAATCAAATATTCCTTAAGGAACAATTCCAGATCAGTCACCTATTAGAACTTTTAAATTGATCCTTTTTCCCCTTCATTGTTTTTCTGAGATTTAAAAATCTTCTTCACCAGCCCTCAATCTCACCTACCCGCTTTTACTTCCTATTCATACCACTACTTTTGTCAGTTTAGACTTTACTATCCCCCAAATACATACAACTCATTTAGGTCTGTGCCTTTGTTTATAAATGGAACATCTCTTTGGAATATTCTTCCTTTCCTCTTCTGCTTTCTAAATTCTATATATCCTTCTAAGCTTGGCTCAAATTCCTCCTCCACGAAGTTTTCCCAGAGTATTCTGGTCTTCAATGATCTCTGAATTTCATTAGCACTTAAAATCTGTACGCTTAGTTTAGTACAATATTCTATGATATGTAGGCATTTTGCTATTTTTATGGATTAGCTTTTTTTGAAATTTTTAATGAGAAAATTGCAGATTCACATGCAGTTGTAAGAAATAATAAAGACAGATCTTATGTGCCCTTTACCTAGTTTCCCCCAGTGGTATGGATTAGCTTTTAATCCTTGTTGCAATTATAAACTCCTTTAGAGCACAGGCTATGTGTTTTATGATTTTTGTCTCCCCAACAGTGACAAACACAGTCAGCAATTAATAAAAATTATGTGATATAATAAGGATGGATGCACCAAGGGAATTTCTAATCTGATACACAATAGAGATCATAATAATGAGACATAAAAAGAATAATGCAGAAGAATTTAGCTGTCCCTCTTCCTCCCAATTCTTAGCAAAGACAGAAAAGCCAGTAAGCCAAATAATAAAGAGCCATAGTTCTTTTCAAGAGTCAGGGAATCTGTACCAGGCCCCCACATTTCAAAGGCACATATGAAGAAAAGATTTAAAAGCATGTGGCTAAAAACAAATTTTTGTTTCATTAAATATTTACTTTAGGTTGTATTTTTGCTTCCACAACTCACTTCTGTGTACATGCACACATGCTCGTTCTCTCTCTCAGAGTAATAAGTATAGTGGTTTAAGGTTTACAAGGCATGGAAACAATTTAAAAAACATGAAACACTAGCAAATTGACTTGCCGAGACTTCATTTAAAATTCTCGTTATTTTTAACAACTAAGGAAAAAAATACACTTGTAAGAGACCATGTAATAGCACACGGGGGGAAAAACTCAAATTAAAAAACACCCATATTTACGCAAAAACCAGAACTACAAAATAAGACATGTAAGTTTTTTACTTTGTGTCATCAGTATGTGAGGAAAAAGTTCTAGGTGTTTCCCAGCCAGTGAAGACCAATTTTTACTCCCTGTCTAGAGGCAATCCAAGTGAAATGCTCGGGATTATTAGCCACAGAGCGTGAATGCTTACTTAGTAAGGTGAAACAGATACTTGGGAACGCTATCTACAAATAAAATACAGTATTCTTCTTATTACTACACTGCCTACAAATAAAACATAGTATTTCTAGTAGTATAAAAAAAAAGTACCCAGATGTGGCTTTTAAGTGGTAAAGCCATAATTTAAAGAAATTTACTTGATTTATAAATATTTATTACAACTTCTGAAGCCTTTTCCTGGTTTTGGCCTATCCAAGATTATTTTTCTCAGCTGTTGAAAGCAATGAACATAACTACATTTATACTACTACTTTGCTACTAACTGGGTCTCTTCTTTCTTTTTTATTAGGAAGCACATAATTTTAACACAGCCTTTAGCTTGGTGTGAAGCCACATCCCCATCTTCAGTTCTTCTTGACATGCCTTTCACATAAGAGACATGTGTTATCACCATAAACTCAAGCTGATTCTCATAAATTCACTTCAGTTTTCCTACATATGCAATAAGCATGATTTCTGTATTTTAAACCTTGACACTTAAAATGAGCTAAACTATTCTGTAATAAAAGCAACATATGTAAGTGTAACTATAAACAAGCAAGACTGACTTCCATAACAGAGATCCTTGAGATGTTTCATTACTGGATAATCATATCTTATACAGTAAATTATGAAAAACAGACACGGAATTTCTCACATTTTACCTTTTTTCCAAAAAAATTAATTGTAGCTAGATAAAAATGGTTCGAAGACACAGAATTTCTATGTAAAATTTCTTAGAGTTTGATTTAAAAATTTTCAATTTGCAGTCACAGGTATTTTTAAACTATTCCTTGACCATTAATAATGAGTTGTGAAGGGACATTAAAAAAAAACAACAAAGGAGACAAAGACAAGTTTGGGAAGAATCCAAGCATCATTTATCTGACAACATTTATTTGGTATCTACAAAGCAATGGTTATGAATGATTCCATAATCTGACACTATAATAAAGAATCAAAAAGTCCAGTCCTCAAAAGGCTTAAAGATTAACTCATGTATTTAACTGAGTACCAACTACAGGGAAGGTTCACAAAAACAGTTTCCTACTGAAAAGATCTTTCTCTTCCTTTGGTGGAAATTGTCAATTATATTTATTAACATGCTGGTGGCACTTTTATTCAATATTGTAAAACCTTAATGATAGAATTTTGGCAAATCCTGTCTCTTGTGCAACAAAAGCATGAGTATTGGGAGAAAGTTAATCTGAGTCACAAATGGCTAGCTTAGGATGGGATAGCAATGAGCTGAGATTGGAAGCTTCTCTTGGGCAGCAAGAGCAATTTCATGAGTGGCCTGAATAGAGTAGTGAAGTTTAAATAAAATACATGGAGTCTACTTCTGGCCATCAAAAGAGACAGAGATTTATTTTTTAAAAGGCATCTCCCATTGTTGTCAATGAAATGGTTAGCACCACAGATAAGTTATGTTTGGTGAACTGTAGAAAGAGACTTAAAATTACACTTATGAATATGCTCAAAATAAGTATAGGAAGTCTCAAATAAAGAAGTAATGGTAAGATGCTAACTTTGAAGGTCTTTTAACAAACTCGTGCCATTTTCACCAGAGAGAAAGTCTGCAAGTTAAAAGAAGATGGTCTGAAGTCTTCTGACAGGAAAGTACTGTCCTGATTCAATGAGCAAGATTTCAGATAGAGTTCTTATGGAAAAGGTATCCTAGGTTAGAGACTATGATCAAGGGAGAGTGAAGTTCTAGGAAATGTTGAAACGCTATACAGAAACTGAAGACTGTCATCTGAACCAGTGGGTGGATATTCTTAATCTCTTATACTTGCTATTTGGATCTGACCTAGTCCAACAGAATTACAGAAACCAGCTAGGCCTAGACTTTAGATATGAATGAATAAATTAGGTCTTAAAACTGATTTAGCAGATATACCTTATTCCTTGATAAAGTAATTTTTGTTTCCATAGTATTTTCTCCAAAACAAAAAACACTTTAGTATTATCAAAGCTCACCTCCACCTACACCCCTCAATGTAGTACATCCTTCAATTATACTGTAATTAAAGACTTGTTTACTAGATTGCAATACATAGAAATGCTTCACTAAATTACCTTATAGACAATAAGAAAACCCACACCATCTAATTCTGGCCACTACATTAAATTGACTCCTACCAAAAAACAAAACAAAATAAAAAGCACAGAGCTTTTAATAATTAATTAAAATTACAAGTAACTTAGTTTTTTACTGTTAAGATTACCACACGTTCATAACTTTAACTGCAAATATTTTAGGCTTGAAAGTATAAACCATAGTTGTATTTTAAAATGTTTTCAAATATATTTGATCAGTAATCTTTTTATTTTAATTTCACTAATAAAATTATATATAATATAAAGACTTACTAATAATAAAAGTCTTTTGTCTTAAAATGTCACGTGACTCTACTTTGGGGCCAATCAAATCAAGGTATGGGACTGGTAGGTGTGCTAAGACACATCTACTTAATGATCATTCTGATACTAAAAACAGATCACTTATATATCAGTGTTTTCATTATCAGGACAAACCATTTTAAAATAACTGAGTTTGGGCTGAAAATACAAAAAAAACCTTGGCTGAGATTCTTAGGTACAAACAGTGTACGCCTAGTACAGTATTTTACAAACTGTAGGAACTTAATGTTGATTCTAAAACTCTAGCTGTATCTGGATTCTCGTATACTTAAATGTATGAGATGTACAAAAAACCGAAAGCTTCAAATAAAGGTCTAAATATAGTAATACACCACTGTTTTCTCTGCACCCTTTTAAAATATAATGAACATTTAGTGATAGTTTACTGTATGTCAAGCACTAGGTTAAGTATGTGCATCAACTTGTCAATTCTCTCAAATTGGTACTATTATGACAATTTGACAGATGAGATCACTCCAAAACAGTTAATTAACTTGTCCAGGGTTACACAGACCTTGTGGTAGAGCTGGGTTTGAACCTAGAAGGTCTGGTTTCAGAGTCCTTATTCTTGATCACTCGACTACACTGCATCCCTATAATTCAGATTATCCATCAGAGTTCAGTAGCATTCAAAATTCACTCCCCATTCTCTGGTGAGATCTACTACCACAGCTTCAAGTATTTACTTTTTGTGAATGACTCTACAACTATGATTCTAGCTCCCTCCACAGAAAACAAAACAAACAAAAAACCACTTCCCTGGCTTTGAGATATATGGCTGAAAAATATACCCTGAAAAATTAAAATCCCAAGGGCAAGTTTTATTAGTGCAGTGCTACTGACTAACTAGTAGGAATAGGCATGAAAATCATTAGAAGTTAAATAGCCCGACCTTAGAGTCCTGCTACAGATAATAAAATACACACAGATAATAGTAATACAATGCACATAACAAAATGGATCCAAGTGAAAATATGATGAACAGCCCCTATTCCCTCTTCCTTTGTATTATAACTCTTTTCTACTTGGGGAAGGGAAGTGGATTTGACCCAGACGAAGAAGGTTAGTCTTTCTAGTTTGGAGTAGAAAGAGCTTGGGAGGGGAGGCCTATTGAGAGAAGGCAGACTTACATTCTAGTTGCCCCAGCCACCATTTGATCTTGTACAGCTGAACATCTCCTCCACGGGAAGGAGAAAAATGATAACACAAGAGCAAGACATGCTGTTGCCAGCAGTGTCCAGAAAAACAAAAAATATGTCAAGATACTCTCACTACAAGCATTTTGTGGGCCCATAATGATCCATGGAGCCCAAAGCACATATATGCCCTAACTTTAACTCTAACAATTGGCTTAAGATGATACAATAATTAGTCTCATAAAAAGCTATCTGTATGGTAAAACAAAATGTTTTGAGCAGCACAATGAGATTAGAAGAACATGTTCTCCAAGAATAAAAGCAATGACAAGTGACTAGACATTAAAAACAAAAAACTAAACATTACATTAAAAAAATGAGCCAGAAAAAAACACACGTCACAGAAGTCAATAAAGAAAAAACGAACACCATTAAATAATGGTAAAAGTTTGTTGTTTTTTAAAGCATCTATAAACTATATAACTCTTTGATAATGTTGCCAAGTATAAAACTTGAAGATTATGGTCTTAAAGACAGAACTCAGTTTAGGGTGTATAAAGTAAAAATATTTAGATAAAACATGGTATATTGCAGTAAAATTTAGTTATCTTATAAACTTAAAAAAAAAAGTAAATTTTAACTATTAATACTACAGCATCTGAGTATAATCTCTTTTCAATGTTCAGCCACTGTAAGTTATTAATTAAAAATCACATCTGCTGCATGAATTTTACTTTTTTTTAAACATTCTTTTTTTGGTATTCTTTTAAGTTTCAAGATATTACAGGGATATAAATGTTTTGGTTACATGAATTGCTTTTGTACAGTTTGAGTCAAAGTTATAAGTGTGTCCATCACCCAGATAATATGTGTTATACCCATTAGGAGTTAATTTACCCATCCTCTCTTCCCCCTCTCCCACCTGCTTGATTTCTGTTGAATTTTAGTACCATATGTACACATGTACACATGAGTGTTGATAATTAGTTCCAACTGAATAATGAGTTAAGATGGAAATCAAAAGATCCTTTAAACTAAATGACAAAGAGTACACAAGTTATCAAAATCTGTGGGATTCAGTAAAACCAGTCAGAAGAGGAAAATTTATAGCCTTAAAATGCCTGTATCCTAAAGACAGAAAGATAACAAATCAACAATCTAATGAACTGTCTCAAGGAATTGGAAAAGGAAGAGCAAACTAATCCCAAACCCAGCAAAGAAACGAAATAACTAAGGTCAGAGCAGAACCAAATGAAATTGATAACAAAAGAATTATACAGAAGATCAATGAAACAAAAAGTTGGTTCTTTGAAAAGATAAACAAAATCTACAGGCCTCTTGCTAGATTAACCAGAAACAGGAAAGGACCATAATAAGCTCAACTGGAAATGAAAAAGGAGATATTACAACTGATACCATGGAAATACAAAATATCATCTCTGAATACTATAAAAAGCTCTATGCACATAAATTTGAAAATGCTGAGGAAATGGATAAATTCTTGGAAACACACAACCTCCCTAGGCTCAATCAGGAAGAAACATAACTTCTGAACAGACCAATATCAAGTAATGAAATTGAAGCAGCAATAAAAAATCTCCACCCCCCAAAAAAGTACTGGACCAGATGGTTTCACAGCTGAATTGTACCAGGAACTGGTACCTACTTCGCAGAAATTATTTCATAACATAGAGAAGGAAAGTATCCTCCCCACTGGTTCTACAAAGCCAGTATCATCTTGATACCAAAGCCAGGAAAGGACACAACAAAAAAAGAAAACTGTAGACCAATATCCTTTATGAATATAGATGCAAAAATTCTCAA